GCCGGTGCCCGCGGGTCCCTGGCGCCCAGCTGCTGCTCTTGCACTAGTTCTTGCTTTTGTGCCTCCCCTCTTGGGGTGGCCTTGGCCAACGCCGAAGGGAAACTCTCCTCGGCCCTCTGGCCCCTCAGACTGGCTCGGCCCCCGCAGTCCCCTTGCCCCTGCGGCCGGCGGCAGGACCCTCGCGCTGCCGAGGTCCGCTCAGCTCGCGGGGGCCCGGCCTGTCCCCGCAGGGAGGGCGGGACCGAGGAAAGCCGCGCTCACATCCTGTACGGAGCCACGAGTGGGGAAGCCTTCCCCGCACCTTCTCTAGCAGAATCGTGAAAATTGCTTTTTAGAAAAAAAGTATTCCTTGTTTCCAGCCATCTACTTTTACATTTAGAAGCGTCATTTTTAGTGAAGTTTTATGCAAGTAATTAACAGTTTACTATTGTTTGTGCCACTGAATTCCAAGGTAGTGTGATAGAAATTTGTGCGTTGGTAATTTGACTCATTTCTTTAGAAATTGGCTGATTGTGGTATTAATGTGTAGCAGTACCAGAAAATGTGATTTTTGTCCATGAGAATCAGCAGGAAAATCTTTATTTCTCTTTTGATGAAAAGTGATTAAAGATGAATATCATTAATAACCAATAAAGCTGGAAGAGGTCAAGGTAAGTATCGTTCAAACGTAGCTTAAGAATTGTTGTGGACTTTAAAACCTGTGTTTCTTGAATAATGTGGACCTTTTTAAAAGAAAACTGAAAGTACAAAGAAATAAGGCTAGGGAAAAAAGTCTTAAAATTTGTTCGTGTGAATTTATACCTTAATTATATCTCAATAAAGCTGTCAAAAAAAAGTTCAAAAACAGTAATTGATCTTGATTCCCACAAGTGTCCACAATACAAGACTCATCTAAACACAAAATCTAGATTAATAACAGAAAAGATGGATCTTCAGGTAATTCCATTGGTTTTTATAACTGAATAGTGTATGCAAAGTTGATGTCACTTGTGTATTTCTCACCAGACTGACCACTGTCTTCACTTTTTACTTGAATTCATTAACAAAATGCTACCATCATTGTTACTGTGATTGAAATGCAAGTCAATTCTCAAATATCTAATCACGGTGAATAGCAGAATATAGATTGACATAGAATTGTCTGAGAGGTTAGTGGTAATAACAGAAAACAGTAATTAGAAAAAGAAGCAAACTTCTCAATCCTACTGCATTGGGATGCCAGTGTCCCCTAATTTAGCTAAAAGAGGCAAGCAGGATGCTCTGCAGTAGGGACTGGTGACCCCTGAATGTAGCAATGGGCCTGTGCAGGCCAGAGGCCCAGCTGACTCTTCAGGAGACATTTGAATGCATGACTGACGACCCTGGGCTTCTGAGCCTGGCAGAGCTGAACCAGCATCACAGTTAACAGTTCACGCAGCTGTGTGCCCCTGAACAAGTTGCTCAGTTGTAACCTGGGTTTCTAGTTTTGTAAAAGGGGAGTGGATGGCTTCCAATAGTAATTATGTCAAAGAGTAGTAAAGATTATATGAATAATGCACAAAAACCATCTGGGGCCTGGCCTAGGTAATATCTATTTTATGAGCCAGGCATTGCATTAAGCTCTTCTGTATTTAAAAAAAAAAAAAAAATTAACGGTAATCCCATACAGTCAGTATTATCGGCGTCCCCGCATTACAGATGAGGAAACTGAGACTTCTGGCATTAAGTAGGAAATCACTTTCCCAAAGTTACAGCTACCTTGGAGGAGAGCTGGAATTCAAACTTAGGTTTCTGTGACTCCAGAATACAAGCTCTTAACCACTAAATTAAAATAATAGTGATGATATTAATAATACAGCAACAACTTCAGTGTAAGGATACTAGTGTCTAAATATGCTATTAAAATCTCCATGCTTGGCTGAACTCCAAATACTTCCTGGCTGTACACATGCATTCTCTTGTTGGCTGTCTACCATCTAACCCTTCTTTCTATCAGCAGCTCAGTCTCCCTTTGGGGGAAATCTTATCTTTGCCTCACCTACACCCAGCACGGCTAAAATATATGCCCACGACTTGCCTCGTTAGACTCGAGCAGGTGATACAATCCTGGAGGGCTCCTGGGAGAGGAAGGGGACCCCGTCCACTCTGATAGGGCACCTGCACCAAACTGATCCTGGTGCCAGCCCCCAAAGCTTTCCAATAAATAAACCCCTGTTTTGCTCAAGTAACTGAGATCCCTTGTTTGCAATTACAAGTGTTGTCTGACAGACACTTGCTAAAAGATGGGGATGGCAAAGGGTCCTGTTGAAGGTCTATCCTCTTAACAGGAACAGGGGCGCATAGTTCTGCTGCTTCCTCCTAAAGTGTGAGCTTATGAGAGCCAGAAGGACCCTTACTGATCATCCTCAACATCCTCATTTTACAAACTCAGAAACAGTCCAACATCCTCATTCTCGAGGAGGAGAAAACTGACTGAAAGATCAAATGATTTGCCCAAGGTGACGAAGTTAAAGATCGAGTCCTGTCTTGAACTGACATTTCCCAACTTTAAGTCCTGTTTGATTTCTAATATTAAACTTCTTCCTTTCTTTCAAAAGGGGAAAAGAGAGAAGCCTAGATCTGAGAAAACTGGGGGAAAGCAGGGCGGGATATAGTGTGCAGCCTTCCAACCCAGTCCTGACATTTCAAGCACAGTCATTCAGCACTTAACAACTGCGATGCGTTCTGAGAAATGCTTCATGAGGTGACTTCTTGGTTGTGTAACCATCATAGAGCATACTTACACAAACGTGGGTGGTATAGCCTACACACACTAGACTATATGGTATGGCCTATTGCTCCTAGGCTACAAACCTGTACAGCGTGGTACTGTACTGAATACTGTAGGCCATTGTAACACAATGGCAAGTGTTTGTGTATCTAAAAATATCTAAGCATAGAAAAGGTTCAGTAAAAATGCATTATTATAATCTTATGGGACCACCAAAATGTCATTATTTGGTTCATGCCTGTACACCCTCAGTGCTAGAAGCACCCCCTGGGCCGCTGGGGAAAGCTGCAAAGTGAGGTAAAGTCAATACCCTCCACTTCCCTCTCTCTGTCCCATTTCCCTTCCGCTGCTCCTGCCTTCCGGTCTTTGTAGTTCAAATGCTGTCCTCCGCTCCCCGGTCTGGTACTTGTACTGAGTTAAATAGCATCCTTCCCAGAACCTCAGAATGTGACTTTATTGGAAGGAGCTGTAGTTAGTTAAGTTGAAATGAGGTCATGCTGGAGTAGAGTGGGCCCTTAATCCGTTATGACTGGTGTCTTTGTAAGAGGAGAAGACACACAGACAGATGTGCACAGAGGGGAAACGATGTAAAGACAGACAGCACCACAGAGGCAGAGACCAGAGTGATGCATGTGCAAGCCAAGGACACCAAGGATTTTTGCCAACACCAGAAGCTAGGAAGAAGAAAGAAAAGATTCTCTCTAGAGCCTTCAGAGATGGGTAGGTAATTAAAAGAAACACTTCACTCTTGCCTGCTTTCTCCACTTCTAGGATTCAGGGCTGTCTCTGACTGCTTAGTCAGTCTGTCACTATGTAAAAAACTGCACTATTGATTTAGTGCAAAAATCTAGCAAATACCCATGATTATGAGGAGTTGATGTCATGTATTTGCCACTTCTGAAAACCTAGAAGGTATGTCCTATAATAGAGAATAACATCACCTACGATTCCCCGCTACTGACCCAACAATGGAAGAATGTACTATTAATAGAATTCTTCTCTACAATAGGCAAAAACCAGACCCCCTATGACCAGCCCAGGGTGGTCTTGAGCAACTACCACCACTTTGCCTCCCGGTGAGACTACTAGCTAGGTAGAATCCCAGTGCTTAAATGTCCTTTCTCTACAACTAAGGGAGTTGTTAGCTCACTGAAAGCAAAAGCTAGGATCCCAGAGCAGGATCAGCATTTAGTGAAAAAGTCAACTTCTGCCTGTGTTTGTGGTTCTAAGCATTAGGAAGGCCTGACAATCCAAACTGTATCTCCCGTGCCTTGACTAAAATTCGGTATTAGAGCTTATTCCTGTAGATGTTGGGTTATGAAAGCACAAACACCCACCCTAGGAGCAATAGCACTTTGAGATGTCATCAGTTGTTTATTACTTTGTGATCATATATTATTGTCATATTGTTGCTTATGATGCAATTAAATTATACAACTAACATGAGTATTAAATCTTTCTAGGAATCGAATATGGTGCATGTTGTGTATAAGCAACTCCAGCGCGTTAGTGGTAGGCTCTTGGGGAAAACAGCTGGGAACCAGAGGGACCTATCAGAAAGGTGAACACCTCAGGCCTCAGACCTGGGAGGAAAGGATTGGGAAGACTTAGCGGATATGAGAGCCTCAGCTAAGTAAACTGCCCAGGGCCTCTCCTCCTCTAAGCAGGGAAGCTAAAGTAGGGGACACAGAAAAGTCAAGTGTTCCGTTTGGAGCCTCCCCATATAAGTATCGTGTTATGTACTATTGTGGGTTGGATTGTATTCCTCAGAAGATATGTTCATGTGAAAGTGACCTTATTTGGAAATGCAATCAAATTAAAATGAAGTCATACTGGATTAGGGTGGATGCTAATCCACTGACTGGTTCCTCATGAGAGGAAAATTTGGACAAAGACACGCAGGGAGAAGGCCATGCAGTGATGGAGGC